GAAATGCCCTTATCACACTTCATCAAAAATACAAGCAAGAGAACCACAAAAGGGGCTGTAAATTAAAAATTCAGCAGAAAAAGATTTTCCTCATTTACTCTTCCATTCACTCAGTAAATCTCAACTGAATGCTTACTGTGTACCAGGCCCCTTACTAGGTGCTGGGAACTCCCAGCAAGGAACAAGACGGCTGTGGCATCTCTCCTCTGGGGCTTATAGCGCACCCTCAAAAGAAGAAAGACTCCCTAAAGGAGTCTCTGTGTTGCAATGTAAAACAATTCCAACCCTGTTAGCTTCATGACAAGAAAACCAAAAGAGCACCTTTACAAGATAAATGTGAGAGATGAACATTATAATAACTTAAAGCCATTAAGTAACTAAACTCTGACAGAACAACTAAGTAGGGTAGAACAGAGGAAATCTCTTTAGACTTTCCAATATAATATTCTTGGAATAGAAAGTAGCTCTTTAATAAAAAATTAAGAATGTTTAAAAAAAGTAAAAAGCAGGCTGGACATGGTGGCTAATGCCTCTAATCTCAGTACTTTGGGAGGCTGAGGCAGGAGGATTGTTTGAGGCCAGGAGTTCAAGACCAGCGTGGGCAACATAGCAAGATTTCATCCCTACAAAAAAATTTTTAAAAACTAGCCAGTTGTGGTGGTGTGCACCTATAGCCCCAGCTCCAATCTTTTGAGCCCAGGAGTTTGGAGGCTGCAGTGAGCTATGATTGCACCTCAGCACTTCAGCCTAGGCAACAGAGCAAGACCCTGTCTCTAAATAAACAAACAGATAGATAAACAGATAGAAAGCCCAGGCAACAGACTCAAAAAAAAAACAAAAAAAACAAAAACAAAAACAGATAGATAGATAAATAGATAAATGGCAGCACGTTACTCTGGGCCTATTTCCTGAGCCCAGTAGAAAGTGATACTTCTGGGGTCTTTGCTGCTTCAGCCATCACCAGGGAAAGGCTAAAGTCTTAGTCTGCTTTTCTGGGCAAATATACAAGTAGTCTTCTGCCACAAAGAAATGAAAAAGTCAAAGCCTGGCGACAGGATGCAGGAAACCTTTGGAAAGGGACTTTCGGAATAAACTCAAGTCTAACTCTCAGCATCTCTGAATATAATAAGTGATATCAAGTCTACATTGACTATTTTATAAGGACAGCATTGATGCCAATTATTTTTTGCCCTAGTCAAGAGAGCCTGTCATCCTCCTACAGAACAATTATCTATAGGTGCATAACAGTTAAAAGCTCAATTCTTTCCCCAGTTCAGCATGGGAAAAGTGCTGCTCACAGCAATCTGACATCATTCCATTAGATTAGATTAATTTTTAAATGTGTTATTCTAACAATTATGCCAACTACCACGTAATTAATAGTCCAACTGACTTTACAAAAATTACAAAAATCCCCTAGAGAAAATAATTAGTCGCTGGGCATGAATGAGACTTTTCCAAAGCCAATAGCACATAAAACCAAAAGTTCAACTCGTCATGGGTGGTATCAAAGTCTTTCCCACACTTCCTTCAATTCTTAGGCAATA